ACAAACAAACAGATAAACAAACAAACAGATAAACAAACAAACAGATAAACAAACAAACAGATAAACAAACAAACAGATAAACCATCAAACACACAAACAGACAAAAGCAGTGTTTTGAACAGTCAGTGATGAGTCCAATGACCCGAACAGCCTCAGACCAGGTCAGACCGGGTCAGACCAGGTCAGACCGGGTCAGACCAGGTCAGACTGGGTCAGACCAGGTCAGACCAGGTCAGACCGGGTCAGACCAGGTCAGACCAGGTCAGACCAGGTGGTCCTTCGGAGCAGACCCCCCTCCTACACCTTCTTGGGCACGTTGGTGATGATGGGTTTGGGTCGGGTTTTAAAGATCAGTTTGCGTTTGATGAGAGCAGACACAGAGTAAGAGGTGGAGGCGGGTCCATGCTGGTCCGTTTCCATGGCTACCTGAGTGACATCATCGTCGGCATCCTGCGAGTGTCCTGGATGTTTGGTGAGGACAGCGAACGGTTTGTCCAGTTTGACCATCTTCCCGTAGAGAATGTGATGTCCTATGATGAGCACCGGCACCCCCTGGTGGAGAAACGGAGAGCTGCAGGGTGAAGAGCTGACCTTTGACCTCTGACCTGTTCAGTACCTGAGCTGCAGCTCGGTCACCTGCTGGGTGTAGAGCAGGTCTCCCATCACGTTCCCCGCCAGACCAGCGTTGTGTCGCGACACCATCTCCCCCTGCAGCTCCACCAGCAGCCACTCAGGAGGCTCGCCGCCGTGCACGCCGCCGTGCACGGCGCTCCTGCAGGACAGAGACAGGACAAATATAATCACCAATCTGTCAGATTATCTCAGATTAAATCCCACAGCTGTGGAAACAAAACATCAACATGAAGTAAAACTGATTCTTTCTGCAAACTCAGACTTTTTTAAAAAATATGAAATTATTATAAATTATCCAACAATCCTGAATTAATGAATATTAATACACAGTTTCAATCATCAGTGATAAATTAACAGTGTGGTATAAAGTACCACAGAGTGATACTTGAGTAAAAGTACAAGTATCTTACCAAAAACTGACTTTGGTAAAAGTTAAAGTGTCCTTTAGGAATACTACTTGAGTAAAAGTGTTAAAGTATGTGATATTTGTTGTAGTTAAGTATTAAAAGTGTTAAAGTATGTGATATTTGTTGTAGTTAAGTATTAAAAGTGAAAGTACTGATTTAAAAAGAGCAGTTAGATTTTCTGTAAGGACATTTATTAGGAGGTGACCTCCCCAAAAACTGCAGAAATGACTGTTGTATTAAAAGAATGAATGGATGTTAAATMTAYGATGCWCWAGTSRAMCTGTTTCAGTTTATATACATATATCAAGGCTGCACAAAGCTTTTCCCCAAAATGAAAATCTATCTGAGGGCTGCGGCCAAATGTAAGAATATAATTCANTTCAGTTTATATACATATATCAAGGCTGCACAAAGCTTTTCCCCAAAATGAAAATCTATCTGAGGGCTGCGGCCAAATGTAAGAATATAATTCAATATAACTCATTTTTATTTTTTACAACAACAAGCTGCAAAGAAAACAAGCAAAAATGAAATAAAAGTAACAACTTTATACTTCTTGTCTTTTTTAAATGTAAGGAGTAGAAGTAAAAAGTAGGCTGAAAAATAATTACTCAAGTAAAGTACAGATACACAAAAACTCTACTACAGTAACAAAGTATTTGCACTTAGTTATTTAACTCTATAAATTATTAAAATGTTCTCACAACAAAAAGAAAAACCATCTTTAAGGTTCCACAAAAAATTATTTAAATTTACAAAATGACAAAAAACTAAAGAACTTATTAAAATCATAAATGTTTATATTTTCACCTTTTTGTTTTATTTTGTCCTGAATTTTATATTTTTACCTTTATATCCACTAACTGATTAATTTGTTTTACTTTGTTAAAAGTATTTAAGGTGACTCAGCTGTTTGTTAGTTTATATCAGAGCTGTTCAAACATTTAGGACCTGAAGGACTAAATTATTATTCCTTTACCTGCTCAATAAACTAAACATTAAATATTTTAATTAAACTAATAAAGGAGTCAGATTTATTACTGGAAATCGATGCATAAATTAGATCCAGAACTTTAAACTGTTTTGCAGGTTTCCTTTATTGAAAGAAATTTAACTTTTTTCTAGGTTTCAATTGGAGAAAAAAACAAACCAATTTAGTAAATTCAGATGAATAAAATCAGGATTTGGATCATTGTTTTGTTGAAAATACTTTCTGTATTGAGACACATTCAATAAATTAATTTAAAGCAGATTTAACTGCAGCAAAATCAGCTTTTGAGTAAAAGTCACCAAATAAATGTAAAAATTAAACTACAAGTCTGGATATTTAAAGACAAATATTTGGTATTATTGACAATATTTTTATTGTAACATTTTACTTTGTGATAAATTAACCTTAATAATAAATAGAAAGCAAACAGCTGTGCTGGGGGACAAATGTGTAAATAAATTAATATAATTCTTGACCTGAAGTCAGAGGTTTCTACACTTTATACATCTGATTTAAATATGGTTATTTTAAAATTAAAGCTCAATATATGAATTTAAAGTAAAGTTCTGCAGTCATCTAAAGTATTTTACTTTAAAACAGTTTATTTTCATTGTTCTAACATTATATTTAAAGACATTTTAAATAATAGAAAACACTATTTTTAAACACTTCCTGCAGGTTTCAGAGTTTCACTTGTTTTTCAGACATTTTCGGTTAAAAAACTGTATTTTCATGTTTTTAAACGTTAAACTCTTGAATGTCTGTTTTGTTTGAAGTCCAACAGAAAACATTAAAATCAGTTAAATCAAAATAAAAACAGAATAAAGTGAAAATATCAGTTTTTACCGGACAAATATCTGAACCATCCTGTCGCTGCTTTGGTCCAAAACACAGCCGCTTCCCGCCTTCTGTGCGTGCTGTCATGACGTCATGACGTCATGACGCACTTCCGCCTCCGCTCCTTCCACTTCCGGTTGAAAAGTCATCAACGTGGTTGCTGATGTTTTGAACCGTGTGGCGTAAAACCTGAGATTAATCTGTCCCAAACAGCAGGTGAGGAAAGTTTTTATTTGTTTTAGTGAAACTAAACTTTATTTTGTTGGTTTAAAGTGAAACTGTTTCCGGTTTGAGCTCCGGGTTCGATTTTTTATTCAAGTTTATTTTAGATCAAAGACACGTTGAAACTAATGATGGTTGATGAGTTTTTATTGTTAATTAACTGATTTATTGATTGAACCTGAAAGAACAGAACCTGTTCCGGTCCAGCTCTTTAAAGTCCTGTCAGAACCGAACAGAGATCCGGGTTCTGCTGGAACCAAACAGAACCTGAAGATAAAACCTGTAAAAAGAGTCCAGGACCCTGCAGAACCAAGAACAACAACCCAGGAGAACCAGGTCCTCGGGACCAGTCTGGAGTCCAGACCGAACCCTGAAGACCTGTTCACCAGGGGTTCAAGTCTTTTGGGTCTGGGGACCCCCCCATAAACCAAATACTGTTTTAAAAGATAATTTATTGTCATTTCTACCCCTACATGCCCTGGGACTATATATTTATTAAGTTTATATTGTGTTTGTTTTATTAGTTCATTGTTCTTCATGCATATTTGAAAATAAAAACAATATTAACATTTTAGTGAATTTTTTGAGGACCCCCAACATACCTCCTGCAGACCCCAGCTTGAGAACCTGTGCTGTAGTCCAGGGGGTCTTCACCTTTCTGACCTCAGGGCCCAGTTTGTTGAACATAAAGTGACCTGAGGTCCAGTCAGACATTATTAATGTATGGATCAAAATGATAATTATTATAAATCTTGGTTTAATTTTTATTGTATTTACATTATAACTAAACTATCATAACTATCATAACTAAATTAAATACACTTACAGTTTAAAAGTAAAACTCCTGTCAAATAATCACAAGACATGATTATAACAAACATTTTATATTGTAACCTGCCCATAACTATTATTTAACAAATACAAAGGTCAGTCAACAGACCACTCAGGCTTATCAACACAAATATATGTATTTTTTAATATAAACAATAACAAAAATAGACAATTCAAAAAAAATTGTGGGCATAAAATAAATAAATTTAAAATGTTTAATGTAAATGTTTCAAATAAAAAATATGTAAAAATAAATTTGATAAAGTACAAATGAAAATAAAGCCTTTTTAAACTTTTACAACCAGAAGCTGCTCTTCATATTAGTGACAAACAATAACAGTAACAACAGCTTTTTGACAAGTTTAAAGTTTCTTTAAAATACATTCAAAATGTTTAAAAATAAACTACAAAAATTTATTTGAAGTGCAAATTAAAATATAGTTGTATCTGCAGCTGTATTTGGCCCACAGGTGAAGAATCTCTGCGTGTAGAGAACCGTCATGTCCTTTAACCAAAGGAAAATAATTTTAATTTCAAAATAAAAGCTTTGTGGTTTTGCTGTAGAAATACAAGAAGTGTGTGTGTGTGTGTGTGTGTGTGTGTGTGTGTGTGTGTGTGTGTGTGTGTGTGTGTCTGTGTGTGTGTGTGTGTCTGTGTGTCTCTCGCAGACCTTAATGGGGGAGTTTAAGGTGCACCGGGTCCGGTTCTTTGACTACATGCCCAGTGCCATCCGGGCCCTGGCGTGGTGCCGACACACGCAGCGCGTGGCCGTGGGCCGGGCCGACGGCTCCGTGGAGATCTTTAACTTCTCTGACAACTACTTCCAGGAGAAGGTGGGAGCTGCAGCACCTGGTCCGGTTCCGTCTCTACAGCTCAGGTGAGCTTTGTGGGAGGAGCTAATGGTCCGTCCTGCTTTGTCTCAGGTGATCCCGGGGCGGGACGGACGGACCGTGGAGGCTCTGTGCTGGGCGGGTCCACGCCTGTTCAGCGCCGGTTTGGATGGAGAGATCACGGAGTACGACCTGGAGAACCTGAGGCCCCGCTACAGCCTGGAGGCCTACGGAGGGCCCGTTTGGACCATCAGCTGCAACTCTCAGGAGACCCTGCTGTCGGTTCGTAGATCCCTGTAAAGACCCGGAGCAGGTTCTGATGAGGAAACCTGGACTGACTGACTGTTTCCTGACAGGCGGGCTTCGAGGACGGAACCGTCAAGCTCTTTGAGATCCTGGAGGGGAAGGTCCAGTTCCAGAGGAACCTGGACCGACAGAAAGGTGAAGTCCCTCAGATTAACTAGCTCTGTAAGAATAAAGGTTCTGACTGACCCGGGTCTCTGCAGGTCGGATCGTCTCTCTCTCCTGGCACCCGTCGGGGTCTCAGATGGCAGCAGGGATGATGGACATGATCCGAGTCTTTGACGCACAAACAGGTAAACAACAACAAGGACCAGGATCTTCTGACCCGCTTGGGTTTTATTAAAGAGGTTCTTCGTCCCGGTTGAGTCCAGGCCACGCCACACACCGCCTGCTGGTGGAGCGAGGTGCGGGCGCCTCGAAGTCCCAGGAAGTGGTGGTCTGGAGCGTGGTCTTCCTGTCCAACGGCACCATCATCAGCGGGGACTCTGCAGGGAAGGTCCAGGTCTGGGACAGCTTCACGGGGACTCTGCTCAGGACTCACCTGGTCACCAAGTGGGACGTCCTGGTTCTGTCCGTCTCACCGGTGAGAAACTGGGCCGCCCGGCACAAACCTGTCTTTGATTTTTATTTTTTATGTTTTTTTTCAGCTGTTGTCTGTGACAGAGCTGATCTCAGCTACCAGCCGACCAACCTTTAGCTCGTTTCTACAAACTGACCTCATCAGACCTGTGGGACGTCTGACCTCCTTCACCTGAACTGATGAGAACAAGAATTAGAAAAGAAGCAGAAAAAAATCAGTATTTTAGCTAAAATAGATACATAAAATTATGTGATAAATCCTGTCAGCAGGAASTGAATCTGAATGTTCATAATTTGAAATTAAATTCATTGGTTTGAAAATAAATTTCACTAAATTGAAACTGAATTTAAAGTTTTAAATCTGAATTAATTTGCTTTGAAACTGTATTTTGGTTTATTAAAATTTCAGTTTGACTACTTTCACTTTCAGTTCCATAATTCAGATTTTTGTGTCACATCC